GTTCATCCTCAAAGAAATTTAATCAGCGGTTTGAAGCGTTTACTTCAACAGCCAGATATCGCCGTCGCTTGCTTATAAGGCTTACGGTATTAATTTCCAACAGATGTAGGACTGCGAGGGACTTTTATTATGATTTTATCGAAATAATTTACAATCGCTTTATAACGCTTACGTAAACACTTTTTACAGGCAGGGAAAATATGAATGGTGGAACAAGTCCAGAAATCCGTCGTTATAAAGCATTGTCGGAGCTAATCAAACGTACCTAATGAATTATTATTGCTGAATGTTTTGAATTGGTATGACTTCGATCTAGTTGCACTAATCATTTTTATTGATTTTATCGAACGTTCCTTTTAATGTTCTATGCAAAGTAACAAGTAAATTTGAATTATTTATTAATTGGGATAATCAATAAAGCATTGACGTAAACATTATCCGGAAACTTAATTGACTCACTTGCAAAATGAACGTAACTTGTTCAGAATTTAATATGGATATTTCCGAAGCTTCTTTAATAATAGTCATGCGATTCGAAAAGTGTTATAAAATTGTCGACTATGATCGAAAAATATTACACTGTAGTTATAACAACGCATATAAAGGGGTATGAAAGCAAATAATGGCTGCGTTCTGCATGCACTGAAATTTCGAAGGTGAGACAACGTACTTTCAATTCAGAAACTCATTTTCTTTCGGAAACTTTCATAAAAGTAACTTTTTTCTACATTTCTGTTTCGCTTTGAAAGGCAATCGCGGCAATGATTGCAAAATGAATTGATAATTTATAATTTTGAAAACCGAGACTTATTGTTCTTAATCTATAACCCTGCAATAATTCCCATGTGCTATTTCGCTCATGATATTATTTGTTTCTACGGGACAAAATCTGTACAGATTCTTTGTAATGTATCCCGTTCATTATCTACAGAATAGGTATACACCTAATGACATAGTATTTCAAAAGTCAGCATCATAAGATTCAAGGAGGTCGTGTATTATAATGTCATTCGAATTCTAAGAACTTTACAAATTTTACAAATAAAATAATTTGACATGTTATTATTTTATGAATTCTAACCTAATATAATTTTAATGCTATTAAATTATTTGCATACTAAATGTTATTTAATCCTTTATATATATATATATATATATATATATATATAGCATGAAAGTAATCAGATAAATTTTAAAAAGGGATATTTATAATTACAACTCTATCTTATGGAATTTTATTGATGTATTAACTTTCGTGTGCATAATGATTCAAACTACTCTATTAGTGTTACAAAATTTGTAAAATAAAATCTACTTCCAACTATACATGTTTTGTTTCTAAAATATGTATATATATATATTAATTGATAATCAATTAGATTTTCTGAGAAAATATTATCCTAGATTACGTTTACATTTATGGGTCAGAAAAAACAAATAAACGAATATTTATCATTCGTATTACCCTATGATATACTATTCTATATATCATTGTAAGCGATAAGTCGTAAAATTAGGCTAAAACTGCTTTGTCTCGCAAATGAGGGAAATTATTAAATTATTCCTCCTGTATGTACTTACTGTAGATTTTCATATATTTTAATCTTAATAAACACCTAAATAGAATCATGATAAAATCCAATTTACATTCCGTATGATAGATAAAATAATCGAATTTTTATTTCTCTACTAGCTTGATCAACTAGGAATCACGAACCTAAAAAGTAAAACAAATTAATGTTTACAATGCTCGCACATTGTGGAGAATACTTGATCCAAAAAAAAATTCATTTAAAAGAGCATTATCCACAATAATAATTACAATTAATTACTAAAGAAAATATGTAAAATGTGAATACAAATGGGAATAGTCACATATTGAGTAAAATCGAGATGGAGTTCGTTAAAACGCGCGTTCTCTTACGAGTTTGCATATGAAACGTCCGCGTTATTATTCAAGATTTCCTGTCTTACATTCACAGATGGTTCGTTGGTGATGTTACACTAGAAGACTCTTGTATATCTATTGTACTGGTTACATCAAGGGATATACTTATAATTTGTACAGTAGCGAAACATATGTATCCTCTTAAGCGCTCAATCGCTGGATCAGAAAATTAAAATTGCCCTCATTTTATTAATATCGCTAAGGAAATGAAGTTCTTAAAGCAAATTGCTGGTGTAAACTCGGCGCTGCAAGTTTCCTATTCCAATGTGCATCCTACACAACTGCGTCGAAATTAAAATTTTGTATTTCACAAATCGAGCATCTACAAAATAAAAATCTTCGTCCTGCTTCCGATAATCGGGTAAAATCGACGATCCTATTGCCCCCTAATAATCGATCCATAAATCTACAGTATCTCTTTTAACAGAAAAAAAAGAAGAAAAAAGCCCAAATGCATCCATACTTATGCTCCTTATCAACGTCCTTAAAATTTTAATACCGAAGGCATAAATTGCGAAAATAGGAACATAATGTGCGAGATTAAAAATAATGATCATTACTTAATAATTAAGAGTTGCCAGTCCTCACAACGGCTTCGCATAAAATAAAAAAATAATAAAATAAAAAAATTGATTGCACAAAAGTACGTTAGGTTTAAAATAGCCTTGTCGAGTTGAGAATGATCTACCTCTTGCCATACTGCATAATGCATCGATTAAAAATGTATTTTAAAAATTGAGCCGGGGCGAAAGGGCGAGATAAAGAAACGAGACACGACCGGTAATAAACAATTCTACAAATCGCTTGAAATTACCTTTCCTCCACCCTATAATACTTAAGCCGCGGCTCGTCGTGTGCACAGTCGTCGAACGTGAAATGTGAAAAACGTTATGGAGAATGGTAGTAGTAGTAGTGGTAGATATGGCCTCGAGCCTTGCATCTAGAGCCGAAATCCTAATACCTAATTAATGATAATTAACAATTGATAATTGACAATTGCTAATTTATATAATTGTTAATTACTAACGAGTAGTCGTGAAGAAGAAGCGGTTTCGAACAAATTGCAAAGGTCAGAAATCGTTAATATATATCTTCATCGGAAGCGACGGTAGCAACGGCAGCAGCCTCGTATAAATATGCAGCAGCCGGACGAAGAGAAAAAAAGCTGCCTGCACCGTGCGTAATCGCGATATTGTTTTCAATCGGCGTTGTGCAGGCGTGCAAAAAACAGGGCGCACTTGCCAGTACAGAGTTTCTTGTTGGGCCGGGGAAGTAATTGGCACGGTTAATTAAAGGCGGTGGGCTCGCGATCGACATTGCATTCGCATACACATGCCATCGACGTGCCATCTGGCGTCGGTCAGGATGCACAAGCTGTGCATAGCCACTACTGCAGCCGCCTGCAGCGCGAAACCGCCGGCCTTTTTTTATCTCCACCCGGGCTAATTATTCCGCTTGGGAAATCACTGTCGAGGACGTTAATGCATTTGCCGCTGCGATCGTCCTTCGTTGTCACCTTTCGAAATTTGCAATCCAGTAATGCAGGCCACAGGCAATCTGGGGCTCGCGCGAGAGCTTACAGGTGATAATGCACGATGATCGCGATGTGGCTGACTTTCTTACTCTCTCTCTCTCTCTCTCTCTCTCTCTCTCTCTCTCTATCTCTAACTCTATCTCTCTACGTATCTACCTCTCTACCTCTCAACGTTTCTCCCTCTCTCGTTGTGCGTGCGTGCCTGCACACGTGCATGCTAACTGCAAATGCTACATTTAAATAGTCTCGTAAAAAATAATCGGCAATTGGAATTTTGTAATTCAGGAATTGAATGCAATCGAATGCATTTGAATCCAAATCAATTAAAAATGTCACTTAATAATGTATTGGATGAGACTGATCGAACGATACGCCAAAAATTTCTGCTCTTTATAATATAATATAATTGAAACGAATGTCAAAATATTCGACTGAATGGAAAATATTGATCGCACTACTTTCAACTACTATGCTAAAAACTAATGTATATTGGCAAGATAGTATTTGCAATTAAATCTTGTGCAATTGATATATTTAATTAGAAATATGAATTGTTTCGATATAGCAGAAGACAATGTAGCTTTTATGTTCAATAAAAGCGATACGTAACAATCATTCATCTAAATGCATTTATATTTATTTATTTATTTATTTATACATGGTGAAAAAAAGATTATAGTAAATCTCACCGAGCCTACTATTAGTTTGGCTTTAAAAAAAAAAAAAACGACTCACGAGGATAAGATAAGCAAAACGAAAACCAAAAAAAAACAAATTAACCCACTTTACAAATTTAAGAAGAAAGTCCTAGAAACTCTTATCCCCTATGAGTGTAATATTCAAATTTTTACTCTATGTGCTTATGTGAATATGAATTTGGTTATGTTGCATCATTCAATAAAAAAAAAACAAATTTGTTATATAAACTCTGTGAAGTTATATTTTTATACTTAAACACTAGGGATAAGAAAATAATTTATAAGTAAAATTTTTTATTATTAACAAACGTATACGTTAATGTTATTTAAATTAATTATTGGAATTGTCAGAATATATTATAAATTTTTGTTTCATTAATTATTGATCCATGTACAACCAGTGCAAATATACATAACTTTTTTAAAATCTATCTTAGCATTAAAATTGAGCAAAAAATGCATTAAACTAACAGTAATAAAGTAATAAATGTATATGTGAAAACATAAAAATATATATATTATATATTAAAACCCTTCACATAAAATGTGTTGATATGTATCACGAACCTACATATATTGGATTGTAAAAACTAAATCGACAATTACATAAATTCTTAATGCATGCTAATTAATTTCCGAAGATTCTCTCATTAAATTTTTATTTAAAAACTTAATATACGATTAACTCTAGCTTCATCATCAACAAAAACAAAAAATGTATGAACATAATGTTAAAACTATTGTATATGTATATATTGATGTTTAGCAATTCATTTTTATTAATTTTCTAATTAACTAATTTTAAACCGTTCCTTCGACCATTGAAATATGGAACCTGAGTCCGACTGCGTACTGACGTCAGTGTTCTAAGAACTGAGCTGGGAAAATGTTACGATCATTATGGAACCGTAAGTTTCATATAATTCAATTGCAAATACTCTATATCGCAATATTTGTGATATTTTTAACAATACCTCGATATTGAAAGAATTAGAGATATGAAAGACATAACAGAAGCCAAATATACTGGGCTTAGTTTGAAAGCTTTCATAACCTAAAAGCAAAGAATTTTTTAAAACTATTTTTGTTCTATTTAAAATTTATCAATTTTTAAATAATTTAGAAATGAAATGATTTTTTATAGCGTTACAAAAAGGTCTTCAAACCTTCATTGTATCAATGAAAATAGTGTTATACATACATATAAAATATGTTATACAAATTATATAGACTTGTTATTTCTGTCACTTTAATCAAAATTAAAATATTGTAGTAACTTACCGACATGAATCTATGTTATTTTTACAGATAATATTCAGCACGGCTTAAAATTAATACCTCACAATACTGTAATTATTAAAAGCTGTCAAAATTTACTTCTGGAGCACATTAAACTCTTAGCAACAAAGTCGATCACTCCCGAATCTACTGAAAAATCAGTGCAGAAAAAAATTCCAAAGCAACCTTTCAGTCCCTTTCAAAACACTAGCAGTAATTTTGAATATGCTTTGGCTAGATTAGACGATTTAATCAGCTGGGGAAGATCAAGTATAGTTATCCATCTTATTATCAATTATAATACATAAATATTCTAATTATTTAAATATTCTATTTAAGCATCGATGTGGCCAATTACATTTGGATTAGCGTGTTGCGCCGTGGAGATGATGCATATGGCAGCCCCTCGATATGACATGGATCGTTATGGTGTTGTATTTCGTGCTGCACCTAAACAAACGGATGTACTTATTGTAGCTGGTACTGTAACAAATAAAATGGCACCACCTTTAAGAAGAACTTACGATCAAATGTTAGATCCAAAATTTGTCATCTCAATGGGCAGTTGTGCAAATGGTGGAGGTTACTATCACTATAGTTACTCTGTTTTAAGAGGTTGTGATAGGATCATACCCGTAGATATTTATGTACCTGGTACGTTCGAAAAACATTTAATATCTTTAATATTAATTATGTACAGTATTAAAGATGATGATATTTTTAGTAAGTATATTGATACAATAATTATATATTAATTTTTGTATAGGTTGTCCACCTACAGCAGAAGCCTTGTTATATGGTGTTTTACAATTACAAAAAAAAGTTAGACGCATGAAATTAGCACTTATATGGTATAGACAATAATTTCAACTATATATATAGCGAAACATTAAATATTATATTAAAATAGTTTAATTATTAATAATTATTATATCATGCATTTTAAGTTTAATAAATTATATACATAAATATCTTACTATAAACAGGTTTCATTGCTTACAAAATACAAAACTTGTTTCATAAGATAATACTATTCCATTTCTATTTTTACCAGTCACTATTTCATATTACGTAATACTTTTCATAAAAAAAAAATATAAATGAGAAAGATACTTTCGAATTTTGTATGTGTTTAAATTGTATGAATTAATTTATAATTCAGTATAAAAACAGATGTCTAAGAAATAAAACTTGTCTGTTAGAATTGGATAAATTTTTTTCTACTTAACGCTTACTTACTATTTAGGCACAGATTTATATTATTTTAAAATTTATTTATAATTTAGAATAAATTACATATTAAGTTTTAAAATCTTTACTTTGCCCATAAGGAATTGAATGGTTTTATTAGTAATAATGGAAATTGTTTTAATATAAATGATGCAATGAATTTATGAAAATTAATAAAATCTATCTAAAAAGTTACGGGTATCTAATGAATAAAGAAAGAAAAGTTTTTAAAGTTAATTCTGATTTATTTCTTAACGTAATATTTATTTATTCTATTCTTTTATAATAACAGCATTTAATTGTAAAATTATATGTATGACCAGTTTCATTAAATTATATACATCTACAAAATAATATTAACATCATTTTGCGATTTTCATAGCTGTTAATTCTAGTTGTTTTAAAGTTTCAAAATAGCTTAAAATTATACAAATTTAAATTTAATAAATAATTTGTTTGTACTAAACCTTCTTATAATTTCAAGTAGTTTGAAACGTTTTCTTATTGCCATTTTAAAACGAATTAAGTAAGCGTGACATCCAACTTGTGTGGATTCTTCCTTATGCAGATGTTCGTATAAGATATGCATACGTTTAATTATGATATTCACCTTCTTTGTTATTTTGCTCATTTTCACGCTACAATCTTTTTTTTTTTTATGATATATAGAATTTTTATCTCATTTGCATAGTCGCTGCGGGCTTCATCGTCTACATTCTATAGGCGCACTTTATATAATAATTCAACAATGCATTGCTTAATAATTGTATTCGAAGGCAATTTTCCTTCATATTCCATTGCAATTCGTGTTCAATTTTCATAGTAGTTTATCTTTCAATAAAAAATATATTATTTCTGCGTGAATTAAAACTTTGCCATGGCTGTACATTTTTCTAAATATCTCGGTGGAGTTGCAATTAAGTTAAACGACATATTTAATTAAATTAAAAAAGACTACCAAATGTTATAACAAAAATTGAAATAAACATATTAAAATCTTCAAGAATTTAATATTCTAGCATTCGATATTACAGATTTAACATGACATATTAGACTTTAACCGTTGTAATTCCAAGTAAGACGGTTTGAAACTCCCACAATTCTTTGTACTTTTAAATTATAAGATTTAAGAAATTCTATTCCTAATATTGAATTTTATAATGTTACTTTCAATAATAAGAATTTTGTTTGGTGCAGAATTGGATAGTAGTACATTTTCCAATGTAAATAGAATTTAATATTAAATTTCTCTCTTTATTTTAATAAATGATACCTGAATAATTAAGTTAAGTATTAAGGTAATAAAGTAAATAGGCTTTGCACAAAACCACAAGGGAAGTTAATACTATTTTATTTACATAAATTATTTTACGTTTTAAAAAGGTGTTAGATAAAAAACTAAAAAAAAAAAAAATAAAAAAAATAAATCGTCACTGAGATCTGCACAAAATTTTAATCCAACTATATACAGTTCATGACAGTAATACTACATTAAACCCTTAATCAAAACAATAATAATAAAAAGTATTGCTAATACCAATTATATGTATGAAACAGGTCGTAATTAAAATAGTTTACATGCTTTTCTTCAATGTATTACATCGTTTTCTTTTTTTAATAATTTTATATAAATTTCATAGCTGATCCATAAACTTTACTATTCTCATAATTTTGCAATAAAAATTTTTATAAAATTTGAAATTTTTAGTGTCCTTTTAGGAAGACAATTATTTTATTTTACCAACCTATGAACGCAGTATGTACATATTATTATACACATACATATTATTCATAGCAGTCATACCTCTTTATTTGATTGACAATATATTTTTAATGGTACATTTGTATACAGAAAATAATGTTCGACTTAATTATTTTTAACAGTTTTCTCTCTCTCTCTCTCTCTCTCCCTGTAAATATAAATATATATATATATATATATATATATTTTTTTTTCTTTTACGTACACACACATATATACATGCCTACATACTATATATAAATACATTGATGTACAATAAGTATGTGTGTGTGTATATATATATATATATATTTATTTATTTATATATAAACATATATAGGCATAAACATGTGCATATAGACCATTCACACTTCGTGCATGCGTGCATGCATACAAAATACATTTTTAAATTGATATAGTCAAACAGTATTAAATGCATACATATAGATTTTTAACAATAGGTTTTATTTTAAAAAAGAGAAATTATAATTATAATAATGATGATAATGATAATGATAATTTAATATTATTATTTGCTATGAAGCTTATGTAAATATTATAGGAATACAAAGCATAATTTACAAAATGAAATTACTAATTTAGTAATAGATGCATGTACATTTACACAACTAGCTACACGCTCATACAAAAATTACTTAAATCTACTATTTTAAACACTCGGCTTTTCTTTGTATACAATTTGATATACAAAATGATTTTTGTACAAGTTTGAACATACGTCTCTTGAATTTTATCACGCTTACATTATTCTTTATTTTATACCTGGCTTAATTTAAATTTGTACGTACGCTTGGAGTGCAAGTTTCTAGTAATGTTTAAATTCTAGAATCTTGATATCTACATACCATTATACAAGTTATTTTTGCAAAATTTTTAGTGTTCCAAAACTATTATATACTTTTAATTTTATTATACTTCCCAAATTATTTAACTCATTTCTGTTATGAGTTTTCGTAAATTTTTGGTCCTAGGTTAAAGAAATTTAAAGCACGTGAACATAAAATTTGTTTTTATATAATTATTCATTATTTACAATAATGCTTCAGTTCTGAGCTTTCAAGACTTTCAGATTTTGTCCTTTTGGGCAGAATTTAAAAATGTGCAACATGAGAAATAGATACAATAGAGTTAACAATAATATCAACTTTTTGTATATTTCAATATTTACAATGTTGCTGTCTACAACTTTAAAAATCTATATTAGATTTACCGGATTAATTTCGAAATATAATTCATCGATGCTTACAAAATTATATTGTACAGTTGGTACCTAGAGAAAAATCAACGTTAAAAATAATTCGCGAGACCAAAAAGTTAATGTAATAAATATGAGAAAATTTTACAATAATTTTAATAATTTTTATTGTACAAGAAAAAAACAATTGCATAATAAATTCATCTAAAGAAAGTATGGAAATTTCATTTGTACACGACAATTTGACAAAGTACAAATTAGGTATTAATACGATTAAAATCTGTAATACAGGTTTTGTTTCGTTGTAAGCTTCTTTTTACTTTTCAGTTACGTAAAATTATATTAGTCTATAAAAAAATTCGTCTTTCCTTCTGAATTTTACATTAAAAAATTTAAGATCTTTTTACAATTATGTTTTGCGCATTGCTGTCAATATATTTATAATTATAGTTGAATTAATTATGCAAGTATTCTTTCTATTTTTTTTATATTCCGTATGAATACATAGTTCAAAAAATTATTCGATTTCACATTTTTCCTTTTTTCAATGAAAATCAAATAATATTTTAAACAAAAATATAACATATAAGTGATAGTCGTTCAACAAAATAATATGCATGCGCACGTGCGCGCATACGCGCTTGTACATGTGGTTATATACATATGCGCTCTCTCGCCCGCACGCACGCACGTGCAGCACACACACGCACGCACGCCCCCACTGCATAAACACAGTCGCACGCACATACGTACATATATGTATGTATGTGTGCGTGCGCGCGCGCGTGTGTGGGTGTGCATTTAGTTATTTAGTTACGCATTCGTGCGCTCTAATGAAGCCTTTGAAATTTATAATTTATTTTATACTAGTAAGAAAGTTAAAGAAAAAATTATTTTCTCTTTTTCTCTTGACAGTATTCCATTCTAAATTCATTCTAATTATTTCAAAAATAAAATAAGATTTTAAAAATATGTGGATACTATTTACCAAAATTTTTACTGATTAATCTAACAATTGCTTCAAGAATAATGTTACATATTCAGTTATAACAAGCTAAGTCTTGACACTTTTGTTATTTACAAATAAATTCTTTTAGAAAACAGTATCCTTAATAAATTTACAAGATAATGAATCTGTATCTGTACACTATAAGATTGCCTGCGATGTCGAAGCAGGCGAACTATTTGGTAATATGGGTACTGGGCCTTCAGTCCATTGAATTAGAGAATGTTCGCTCATTTGAGTACTTTGAAAGTGGTCTTTAAGTAATGTTTGAGAAAATGTACAATGCATTTGATATGCTTCACTTTCACGATTGTGATCGCCGCAGATTCTATTCAAATCTAGAAAATCAAAGCAAATCTTTGGTTTATATTACTATTGACGATTATATGACAAATAGTCGTGCGATTACCTTTTAAAATTGCTGTCGCCCATAACTGTACATGAACATCGGGTATTTTGGAAGCCAACTGCATAGCAGGTGTCACCATATTCATAGATTCTCTATGATTGCCTAATGATAAAAATATATGACCAAGAAGCACTAGGCTACACGATGTTAATCGATTTAGATCTTCCGAATTCGCCATTTTTAATGTCTCCCGAAGATACCTCCTGTTAAATAAAATCAGATAACATTGTAGCGGATAACAATTTGTCGTGAGATTATTATACATAATGGAACTATCATCGAATCATTTACTTGGCTTCATTATATCTTGCTCCAAAGAAAGCTTGAAGGCCCTGTACGTAATACGCTGCTGCTCTCAAGGAATGCGAAAGAGATGGCAATGATTCTGGATTTATCCTTTCCAAAAGCGTTCCTAATTCAGCATCTCTCCTTGTCCTAAGATAAACTATTGCCAAATTTAAATTCGCAAACGTGACCAATTCTTTTTCTTGCGACTTCTGAGAAGATCAATATGAAAATATAGAGTCGAATAGTCGGCTAATTGAGATAATTTAAGGATATAATTATAATTGATAGTAAGTGAAATGGTAACGAACGTTTAACGCCGAGATTAATTGAGCCTCTGCTGCTTCCATGCAATTCATAGACATCGCATACAAACCAAGTAACGTATGTAATTGTGCTCTGTGACTTTGTAAAAGTTTGGGCTGATGCCTACACAATTGGCAAGCTTGAGAAATTTCGGAAAGAGCCGCACTTTTATTTCCCATAACGAGTCGACACATGACTATATGTTCCAATAACATCAATTGAAAAACAGAGAGAATTGGTTTATTGTCGATGACTGTAAAAGACAATTAATTAAATTAAACATAAGCTTGCCAAACAATCACCGTCCAGCATAATCTCGACTATTTGATTGCACTTTATCAACTTTTCTGAAATAACGTACGTTTTAAATTCTCTATTTGGGCAAGTGCTTTGTCCGTATATTTTTGAGCTTTATCCATGTAACCCGACTGCATAGAATGCATAACGGTTACCAAGTAAACGAGAACAAATAAATGCTCTTTGGGCATCCATATGAACATATCACCTATGTGGGGGCCGGTGACAATTTCATCTGATGGCCACGACGGAGCCATTATGGCCTGTATACTTTGCTGCAATTGCTTTAAGCATGGTTTTACACTTTTGACCTGTGGAATATAGAAATTTCAATACAAAACGAAATGGAAATGTTCAATGGAGAAGAAAACACAGAGACAGGAGAAGCGAAACACGATAAAAAACCATATGAGAAAAAAATTAAAGAAACAAATATAAAAAAAAAACAAAGTAATTCTTCGTTAGTATAATAGCACTGAGCGTAAATATTTACTTGTCCAGACATCAGATAATGACAAACTTGAAGCACTAAGAAGTACACTTTCAAATATTCCTTCTGATGCGGATTCCCTTGCCAATTTTCCACTTGATGCCCGGTCGAATTAAGCAAAGGCGAAACTTCTGCAAATTTTTTATCGATCAGCAGCAGCATACACCGACTGAGCAGAAACAAAACCCTTGTGTAATTTGCATTGCTTATTTGTGAATAGTCGGCGCCGACGGCCAACAATCCACCAGCTGCATTCAAGTCCTTCTCTGATGCGTGTATTTGCTGCAATTCAATAATGGGAATACATTGGAATGCGTTGAGAAATAGAACATGACTTTTGATGGTCGTGCCTAAGGGTAGTGTTAAAGTGCAAGTGGGCCAAAATACTTACGGCGAGCTGGAATATAAGCCTACAATGCCAATAAACATTGTGCTGAGAGAGTTCGATGGCTTTACGCAGGATGGACTGACTCAAACTGGACTGTTGCTGTTGTTCATAAAGCTCGGCCAGCACGCTGGCCGCCTCAAATTTGACGTCGTCGAAGGTATTGATGGTCTGACTTAGCTGCCACTGAAACGCAAAACAAGAAAAACGCCGAGCGACCGACGTTGTTTTCTAGCCCATCACCAACGGAGGCTCCAATCGAGCCGAATGAGGTTAAGTGCGCCTTGTATACTTACCGCGCGCTCGAGATGCGTTCGGGCCAGATCTATGTTTTTGGTGTGGGTGAGGAGGATGTTACCCAGCTGGAGATGGGTGCGGGCCTCGACCCGGGGCGGCGGCTTGAAGTTGAAAACCGCCTGGAGGCACTGTATGCAGGACTTGATGCTGGGCGGGCTCGAGGTGCGAAAGTTCTCGGCCAGACCCAACAGCGACAGATACCAAGCATCCTGGGACGACGCCATTTTTACATTTCTCGCCAGGAGCTAGAACGCGCCTCGGCAGGCCGACCGCACTCGGGAGCTTCCTGCGGGCGAGCCCCTCGCCTCCCCAACTCGCAAAATCAGTAATCACCAGCCGAGAGACGCTGAGCCGACGTGCGGGGGCCAATCGGAGCGGAATATGGAACGGGGCTCGCGAGGACCCGCTCGTATGTATACAAACGGCACGAAACGCGGGGACACTGACACTGAGAGACACATCAATCGCTAACTCCTAGGTGTTATTTTTTTCTTCTTCTACGAGTCTTGAACATCGGAGGATCGGGCTCGATTTAATTGGCGACTTGCACATTTGCTCACTTGCAAAAGTCGTTGATAGCGTGCAAACTGTGGTAGCGCTGCTGCAGTGCTGCTGCCTAAACAAAACAGAAAAAACGCCAAAACCTTATAGTAGCTAAAGCCAGTTTGCGATTGCGGACGTTAGGAGGTTCTGACGCTGAGTTGGCCGGTAATGTGACTGTCAGTGCCCACGGATACTCGGGCCGAAACTTCATAAACACCATTGATTTACGAGGGACGAGGAATTCGAACCTTACCTTGCTTTTGCAGCTTTCTTTCGTTATACATTATATGTAAAATTGGCTGGCAAGAGCAGCTGTTACGGCAGATTTCAATTTTGTATACAAATAAGATTGTTGAAAGTCAATTTCATAAAGTGACTCGTTATCGAGCGGATTGGATTGTCAGCGTCCCCCGCGCCGTGTACCTCCACGGATTTTCATTTATCCGTCCTCAAATTTAACAGCTCTAATTTAACGATTAAATAATCATGAACCGTACAACCTCATTCTATTATATTATTTCTTATATTATTATATCCATAAATGAAAACATAGCGTTGATTAATTAATAAGTCTTTCGTTATTATTACTATTATGATTACCGTTGCCGTCATCGTCTTATCATCATCATCATCCTACTCGTCGTTAATTCTTCTTCATATTGCTGTCGTCCTCGTCGTCGTCGTCGTTGTTGTTGTTGTTGTTGTTGTCGTCGTCGTCGTCACCGTCGTCGCTTTCGTTGTTGTTATCGTATTTATTATAATCTCATTTATTAATTTTTTTATTTTATTGTTGTTGTTGTTATTGTTGCCTGTATTTGTATTGTAAATATGCGTGACGCTCGGTCAATTCTATTCGCCTTACATGGTAGATTTCCATTGCTCACCCGATTACGTTGCAATCCTGATTAAATATAACAGTCGTTTACATATTAGAAATCACTGATTTGAAAACTTATATCTTTGGGGAGAAGTAAAAAATTAAATATTTCAAATTATGCTCGTTTGTCGTAAAATTTTGTGATATAACAAACGCATGCAATCATTTCAATCGTCTCTATTCGTAATATAGAAACTACGTTTGTAAATGTCTAGTGCAAGTTGTTTATTAAAACCATTCACTTTCATAAATTTCTACTATTAGTTCTCCAAGACGCTCGCATTATGGTTTAAAACTCATTACACGAATCTAGTAAATGTATTTTACACCAATTTTACTACTACTAATGACTGCGTAAACTTAAATGTCAAGATTTTTAACGTAAATACTGCATTAGGAATTTGGTGACTAATCACTCGGGCAGTTTGTACTATAAAGTGGACTACGATAAAATTATAATATTCTATCTTTCACGTGATATTGCATGTACGCCTGCATATAAACTGCTTTCCTTATGAAATGATATAAACATCGAGTGTACACATTGCAGATAAGTGCTATCAAATATTAAATAAAAATAAAATGCCATCGCACATCCATCAAACTACATAATTTACTAAGTTATCTCACTTTTTCACAATCATCTATCGCAATATCCACTCATTATCTTAAATGCTTAAAATATCAAATTCATTAATAATTAACTACCTTAATGACATACTAGATAAAAAAAGTACATATCAAACTTAAATTCTATATACACGCGCACGCACACGCGCACGCGCCTTTGTGTTTTGTATGACATGCTTCTCACATTCTATTTTGAAAATCTCCTTTGAAAGGGACAATTTACACTCTCTACTTCTACTGATATAACATTTTTTTGTATAATTATACGCATTGTCTTAAACTCCAAACAAATCATTTAATACACAATACTCTCATCTTATAAAAATTACGACACAATTTATCGACTTAGTACGTAAGAACATACTTTAAAATACATTTTTCTAAACATCATTGTGCAAAATTTCATAAAAATTTTCAAAATCGTTTGAAGGCTGTTTCGTGAATGTCATTAGTTTACGTGTTAGTTAACAATATATAGCTTATAATGAAAGCAGCAATTTGCCAGTAAGTATGAATCGTTAAATAATTCAATGAAATAGAGATTAGATAGAGGTGAGAATAATTCTACCGCGGGTAATTAGAAGTACAATGGTAATACAAGTATTGTAGACATTCAATAGTATAGTGCACCACGTGCTTTAATAATAATAAGCTTTGCTTGAAGTAAAAAAATCAATATATATTTCGGGAAATTGAATTAAAACGTAGTTGCCGTTTCGTATAGTAATCATTGCCAAAGATTTGATAACACACTTGTGTATGAAATGTTTATCTCCCCTAATGAATTTAATCATAAAAAATAGACATAAATGATGCAAATTACGGGCAACAAAAATATATAAATTATCTACATGCAAATTACAACCTACAGAAAGTGTAAAATCCAATTATCATTCGACAATTGATATTTTGCTCCTTAAATATCAAATTTTGTTTGTACATTGTAATTTAGTGTCGAATTAATACGTTACGTAGTTAATAGTGAATTTGATTAAAATTGATATTCGTGCCCTCTGTTATAATGCAATTCCCGTTCAGTATGAAAAAAAAATAATAAAATCTGCGATACAAAATCACAAAGCATTTATTAAGAATGAAATTCTCAAGACATTTTCATATTGAATTCCCGGGTAAGACATATCCAACTTTTCTCCGTCACAATACGAATTTTAGACTTAAAAGGAAGCGTACACCCAGAAGCAGACTATGTGTATTATTACACACTATGCAGTCTGAAATAGTCTGCATTTCAAAATGTTTAAATGAGGCCCAATAGTGTGAAGTAGGAATCGCAAGCCAAAAATACAATCAGCTGATTATATGTCCTTATCTGTGCTATATAATTTTCTCGGAAGACTTTTCCTCGCAATCGATTTATTAGAACAAGTTGTATACTGTCTCTATTGTGGGACGTTTTAAATACTCCGAATTGCATCTTTAGATATATTTGAAAAATTAACAACTACGTGAGAAAGATGCACAGTCAATGCAATAGTCAAGTAACCTAAAAAAACGAAAGCGTTATCATGCATAGATGTTGTGGAAGAAAAATTTAAATGTTTATTCGTAGAAGTATCTAAAGATTTATCTTTGTAAAATAAATAAAAACAAATTCCGTATAAATACAACTTTCGTACAAAAGTTTCATAATGAGCTTTCTTCTTCGAGATCTAATTCAAAAATGGTTTTTCCAATAAATAACAACTGATGGCCAAAAAAAAAAAATGCTTCGTCTACTCAAGAGAAGTACAAAAACATTGTAATAGCATTGCTTAAGAATTAGCATTAAACTTCCGTAATATCGGTCTAACAAAACAATAACATAAAAACATAAAAACAACAAAAATAAACATCTTTCCTTTCTCATCGAATTATTATTCATATTTCTGCCATTGGCAGTGCCATCTGTACTGCAAATATTGAAATTCGTAGCAAGAATAATAAGTATATCGTATGATATTTATATGGGGGGGGGGGGCAAAAAACAAAAAATTTATATAACTATTAAGGAAGAAATATTGAGAAATAAATTTGTATTGGGTAAATGATTGGAAAAAGGCGGTATCAGTTGCTCGATCCTGTGCCTCCTCACGTTAACCAAAGTAATATAAAGAAGAATTTTAATTATTTAACTCGTTTAAAATTTAATTGTATTTTATTATAAAAATCCCAATATTATTGAGAGTGCTTGATGCTCGGGGAGTTAATGAATCGAAAGAAATTTTAAGTACGTGGTTTGTAGATACGATTTAAATGGTGCTTGCATGCGCAATAAATTCTTAGATAAATAAAACAATGGGCGAATATGGTAAGAAATAACTTAAATAATTATTGAATTACGGGAGATTATATTAATCGGTAAATTGAATTATGATTGTTATTGTTGTATCGTTGCCTTTCACCAAGGCCATTAACATTAAAGCCAAATTAATATAAACATTGAAATTCTGGCAGAAACAAAAGCAAATACAAAAAAGGAAAGGAACTCCTAATCGATTGTAGTAACTGTTGGTCGTTAGTTGACTAAAACGCGTAAAAGACAATGTGTGGGTGGAGATTTGTTGATTGGGACCGAATTAGAAGGTGGTGAGACTCGATCGAGACCAGTCCGACTATTTTCCAAAACTCGCTCGGTGAAAAAGAAGTATAAATGCGAGTGTCTTGCGCTGCTTGATTAAACGAGTCCAAGTCTCTTCGTGCAAAATTTAATGTCATTGAAGAATTTAGAATAATACTTAATGTCGAGTGGCATAAGAGGATAATGAGCAGCCGTTATAAAATAATGTATATTAATGGAGAAATTTTGTGAGGTCGTGTTAAGAGAGACCGAGGCAGGAAATAAAAATTCTTAATGCTCTATAACGGGAAGAGCCTCGTCCGATTGAGTAGATCTTCGCAAGTATAGAGTCAAAACAATTTTAATTCACGCGTTAGAAGCGCACAGCTGCGGCACTCTCGATTCTTTATGCCAATGAGCGTGGGGATGCACGGGAGGTCGAGCCTTTGGATTGAACTTGGTGTGACAAATCCGTGCATTTGGTCAATATATTATAATAGTTGAATAGATTTTGAACCCCTTACGGATACATTGCCGATTGCATTGTAGCTCACCTAGCCAATAAATCTATCGAGATTATTTTTCATGCAATTGAGCATAATCGTCGAGCCGCGATTATTTATTAAATGTTTAAATCGTCGACGTTCGATCAATGTCCCATGATTACCATCCCTTAGGCGAAAAACCTTAAATTTACAGTTGTTTACAAATAAGAAAAAAACTCTTACTCAATGTACGTGTTGCCAATTTTATTATCTAGTATTACTTAACAAGTTCAAAGGATGCTAAACGCGTTATAGCGATGTTACAAACTTTAATGGAGAACAATAAATGCGCGTCTGACCGCCCATAGCTCCAACATAACATTGTCACGCACGATTCGCCTAGGTGTATAAACGAGAAGGCGAAAGCGATATATGTTTTTGCAATGAAAATCAGGAACTTTCAATGACGTAATTAACATACATTAACCACCATTGAGATAAATAATAATAAATAGCGCGTAGCTTATCGTTGAAAATCAGAATTTTCAGAGGCCGTAACTGCTGCAAACCGCCGATCGTTTTGTTAATTTGTTTCTTATTACAGTTGCTCGATATAGAGTCTAAAAAATTATTTACTTAGCTCAGCGTCGCAACTAGGCGTGTGCGAATTAAATTTCTTTTATCGTTTGAAAGATCGGCCGCTTTTAAGCACCTGCCGCCAACCTCACTTTCCCTTCGTTTCCAAATCCCCAATGCTCGCGCACGTTGCCGCATGGCAAACATACGTCTCCTCGAGTCTTTAAAAGCGCTCTTTAAACGAGCCGATGACAGTAAGCTTTTGCAATACCGTGCACAGTCCTAAGCCAATGCTACTTTTAAACACGATACTAAAAATTTTACCACGACTTCCTTACAATTGCATTAATTACGCAGTAAAATCCGTAACGACGGCGGGTACTTCGAACGAGATTTCTTGCGCTTAACGGCAAAAGCAGAGTGCATTTTTATGCACTTCATAAATTTCACGTCTAAGGCTCTCGTGCAGATTCAGATCGGAAATGTCCGCCAGGTGAAAGTTTTTCTGCGCAGCCTGAGACAAAGATTTTCGATCTTTCATATTATTTTTTTACTAATCTTCTTAGTAATAATGCCGACATAACATAATCAGCACTATAATGGCAAACGATCATCAAGCTTACATAATAATCCACAGCTGAAAGTGACGACGTGACATCCGCGGACAAACGAATCGATAATTTAATTATAAATGTGGCCATTCGAGCGAGCCGACACTGACTATCACGACACGCAAACTCGCTTATGCATAATTTTCTACATATTAGAAATGGAAGGTTCGTACATACAGGCACATAAAAAGTGAAGGGATCAAATGTGGGTTGGACGTGTATATTACGATGATATTTAAAAATTGTAATGAATGACAAATTTCTAATGTTGCTCAAGCGTCGAATAGTATTTGCACGATTATTATTAATCGACCAAATATAGCTGGGATTTATAAAATCGCACTTTCATTGAATAACTTTTACGTTATCGGACCTGCTGCTACACTCTCCAGTCTCGTGCGCATAATTATTTCCACGCTATTTTTATAGGTAACGTAAGACCATTATTCCTCCTCCAACGACAATATATTCTGCTTTAACGCTCGACCTTCGACATTCGATATACGATGACTGCTATCAATTGCATCGCCTACCGGAGCTTCGAGCTAACCTGTTAAATCGTATATGTACAGCCATAGCTGATGTCGCGTTAAAACCATTTTAACATCGTGGATTAATATTAAAGAGGATTCGAAAGTGCAAAAGAGCGTGACAGAAAATCGTCATCCACGTCTTCGTAGTCGTCAAGGTCGCAAAGGCTCGGACAATGTCATAGGGTCGGCAGCTGATTACATAAGCTCGACGATCGACCGGCGTTGGATAGGTGGTCAACTCGGGCGATCCGCATTGTCAACAACGACGAAACTCGTCGGCGCGCGTACCATCTCGCCGGCAACGGGAACGACATAATGAGGATTGAGTAGTGCCCTCCCCCCTCTCGCCGCTACCTCCACCACCACCGCCGCCACCAGTCGGTTACGGACCTCCTGACCGGGGATCGCTCCGGCGTAACTTCGCTTCGGAGTAAGCCCGCGAGCTTCGAACGACGCGTGACCACGAGCACTCGGAGGAAAACCATGAGACCTCGACTGTCGGCCGTGTTCTCCGCCTGCATCCTCGCTGCAACGGCCGTGGGCCTGCTCGTCTTCAGGCCACCAGGATGCCGCGCGGACAACGAGACCGAAGCCAAACTTGCCAAGCTCGTCAAGATCTTCAGCAAGCCCGGGGCCTTTAGCCAGGTATCCGCGTCCTCTTCTACACGCCCTGGACGACGGTAGCCCACGCGCTCGTCCTCCTTGATCCTTCCTCTCACCGCCGACTCGCAATGTCCAGTCGTCAAGATTCTATAATTGCTTCCGGAGCAAAACTTTAGCAAAATCGAACGCGACTCCCGTAAATAAAAGCATCAATTTGCACACTCGAGATGTCGCGTATCCTCCTCCTTCTCCATCCACCCCCCGCTCACGACAAACGAACGAGCTTTTAAATTGCGCGCCCGAGGTAAAAGGAGCTCGAACACGGCAAAACACACTCACCACACTCTTCGAATCAACGATCCAACCATCATCGCGATCATCGATGCTCGAGGATAAAACTAAAATTTCCATTGCAGATTAATGCGATTTTCGGGGAAGAGGAGGCAGCCGCGCAGCCGTCAATGTGGCCGGGCTCGAGCTGTGTGGATGGCGAGGAGGGCCTGGAATGCAGACGTGCGGAGGCGCGACGCTCCGTCGATTGTCCCCGAGGTAACTACGCATTTACCGATTTCCCCGCCCAGGCTCGGATGCCCTTGGCAGAGATGCTCGAGCCGCTCACGATGACACTGGTCACGCGTGCGAAAATGGTTCCTCATGTCCCCTTGCTTTTTGCCTTACAAACACACACACTCTCTCTCTCTCTCTCTCCCCTGTTCCTCTTCGCCCCTTCGCACTTTTGCACCATTCGAAATCTAACGTGCGAGCAAGCATCGCAATTAGGCTAAATCCATCGATTTCTCCTCACAATGGAGCCTGCCTTTCTCTGTTGAAGATGTTTGGTTGGTAAAAGTGCTAGAAACGAGGAACAAGGAGATCCAACGTATTTGGAAATTTATTAGTAGCAGATTAGAATTAATTTGTGCGCGGAAATTTGTGATAAGAGTGGCCCCGAGCACCAACGCGTCCGCTTAGTTTATTCGGACTCAAGCGCGGCATTTGCTATTTTCATTGATAATAGTAGTGGGGCGAAAGTTTTAGAAAATATCGTTCGTTCGGTGGCGTAAAAATGCTCGAGTGCTGCTCCCGCTGCCTCTTGCTTAATTCAAAATTTACCGAAAGCCTGCGACGAGCAGCACTTGGCGCTGTCCCCCTCGCTGCTGCTGACTTTCTTCTCATCCGATCATTGAGATTGGCCAAAAATTTTCAGTGCGGCCTTTAGATAAGCAGCCCAAGACAATTATTAATCGAGCGCGAATCAACGAGGCATTTACTAGATAACAATGACAAGGCGTTATTATTACGCGCTCAGACCATAAGGAAGCAACCTCGAGTAAATTGGCGCGGGGGAGCATTGCCCTAGCCTTGCCCTAAGCAAGGGAATTCGCCTAAAAAACTTGGCAATGCATCCTAATAAGGCACCCTTAAATGATCCCGGGCAATTGAAATTTGGCATGGAAGTTGGGTACCGTCGATGGAGGGTAGCGAGCGCTCGCAGCGGAAGCTCAGCCACTCAGGGCGGACACACTTGTTCCAGGAGACTGCTACTGCTACAATTGCTCCAAGGCTGGCCCCGAACTCTGGGCATCTTGCTGCCGTGAGAGCCTCAAGTGCTGCTCTCACCTAGCCGCCGCTTGCCGCACATGCGACCAGCCGCCGCTCTACCCTTTCTGCGCCAAGCACTTCAAGAAGTGCTCGAGTCAATTGAATGACAAGAAGTCCGCCTGAACGCCGCCGTATCCACAGCTACACTATAAATTTTTTGGTATGATGCGTTGGGAGAGAGTGCCGGAGCTGCTTCTCGTATCATCGCTCTCCTTCATTTTCTTTCGATCCCTCATCACCCTTTAACCCCAATAACCCACCTTGAGCCCCCATTAATTTTTAACAACCTAGAGACGGGCACGAAACGGACATTGTAAATAACGCGGAACCTCGGTTAGTTTTTAGCCCTTGAGGTCATTGAGTCCATTCAACGGGTAAGTACTTAATTTATTACTCTAATACAAAACAAAAAGAAAGAAAAAAAACATCCACAGTAGCATACATCGCTCGTTTCGGCGCATCGTTTTGCTTTATAAAGATCTATATGCATTGGAGGCCCGTGCGCGTGTGCGTGTCGCGTACGATGCAATAAGCTGGAATGACGACTGAATTTTATAAAAGACGCATTATTGCATAAGTTGTCGGGGCTAGAGCCGCGGACCGGCACACGGGACTTCTAAATATAGCCTTCGCGCGACTAGCTTTAAACAGCTTTCAAATGAATCTCCATTCGCTAATTATGCACGCTTCGGAAAGCGCCTCAGAAAGCGTGCCAATAATCTTTTTAAGTAAAAAGTCATTTTATTGTCAAAAAACTAATGCAATGATATATAAAGGAAGGACAACTTATCGTTATATGTACAAAGTAACACTTTTAAAATAATTTTTCTCCTCTCTCACACTTGCACACACATTCACTCACACATGCACCCACACACACATACTATCTGGCTTAGCGCATGCGCGCGCGCGCACACACACTCTCTCTCTCTCTCACTCTGTCCGTTTTGCTTGAATAGCAAAATTCAACAATATTTCCATTTCTAGCAATTTTCATGTAATGGACTTGATAATCGTCGACTTACTTGATTACTAGAAATGATCTGTAAAGACAACCCAAGGGAAATACAATGTGACCACGTTTTAATTGGTTATCACCTTAGCGATTAACTAGTGGGGGGAAGGGGTCATAATTTAAAATGATTTATATTTTTTTATTTTTTATAAATAATTGTGCGACCATTTCTTAAACAATAATAAGAGAAAGTCTGCTCCAAGTTAATCCATCGAAAATGTGTTCTTCACAAAGTACGATCGATCGCTATTGCAAGGTAAAAAGGAAGCAAAAATATTGTTATTCGAGTTTTTTTTTCAAGCTTGTCAATCTTGTTTATATTAATAACCATTCCTTCATAATTATTAAATGGTCGATTATGATATTGACAGATACAACGATACAACGGATGCATATTAAATAATACGTTTTAATCATATAATTCAAATTGACGATAATTAAGTTTACAAGCTATCCTAATGTTAATGTTCTATCCACTGATTCGTTTTTATATCAACATAATCGACTCTAAAACTATATAATATGAAAAGTGACAAAAATAAAAGTAATAATAAAAACAACAACAAATATATATATATATATATATAGGATATAAAGAGCCAAATTTATACGTTTTATAAAGGCATATGATTGTTTACTTTTTCGCTTCCTTGATTACCTTCAGTATACTTCATTGACCTTTGACGTACGTAAGGTGAATTAAAAAAGAAAAAAAAATCATGCTTTCAGCGATTCTTAAATATTTGTTTTATGAGCTTTTTTTAACTATTTATAAGCTATTATTTATAGTTGTAATATCGTTGTTGAATTTCCCTGGAGTTCTCATAATTAGAATCAATCACACGTTTTACATTTTCACCTTTCACATTTTACTCTTCGCATTTTAGTACACTCAATACTATTGTATAAAACACAGATTCTTGGCTAATATTAACGTGATTGTAAAGTGTTTTATCTATGTTTTTATGTGCCCTATTTTATTGTATTCAAATTGAATTTAAAAGTCAAAAAGCTATTGCTTAGTACAAAGAGACAGTTATACTAATATTTACGTTTAAAGTTTAGTTACTTGGAATAAGTATGCGTATGAGTGTTCCGTGTGTAAGTGTGCGTTTGCGTATGCTTGCGGGTGTGTGCGTGTATGTCTGTATGTATGTGTAGATATACATATTATATAATATATAATACTATATAATATACATTAAATATTATTAATAATATATAGTACTATATAATATGCATTATATATTATATATATATATACATACTTTTTTTTTATTCTTCATATATATGTATTGAAAAAATGTAAGACTACATTTGATTTATTCTTTAATGAATGAGACACGAACGGCGAAGGGCGAGGAAATACGGTCAGACACAGCCAGTCGAGAATATTGTTTCTTTCGTATTGAATTTTTGTTATGAATACATTGCTTGACCAGAGTATAAACACAATAAACTTGAGAAATTGTCAAATTCGGGCAACGTCCAAAAATATCGTGGCTTCACATTTTGCACTAATGGCTACATGTATTATAAATCGGAAATGCATTATGAAAGTAGAAAAAAATTCGTACTTTATTTATATCACAAATACCAAAGTGTCACTGTAATTCGACGTTTGCATTGTCTCGTAACAGCAATTGTTTCAACACTGTCCTTTACTGCAAGCATTTTATTCAAAATTTGAACTTTTGTGATGCTTTAATATAAACTTTGTGTGCACATTATTTTGGTCTTACTTAAAAAGAAAGAAACACGTTATGCGATCATGCTTTAAAAAAAAAAATTTTTTTGTTTAAAAATTAAAAAAAAAAAATAAAAATAAATCCGTTCATACGAAGACACAAACATTGTGTTGATACACCACAAAATAACACTTTATCCCGTTTGCATAAACAGAATTCCACTATTAGTTACAACCATCTTATATTTAGTATTTTTACTTGAAAAATTGTCAGAATTTGGAGTTATAAGATACACAAGGAGTACAGGTACCATCATTAGACGCTCAAGGATTTCAACAACAAAAAAAATCAATATATTCATAGGTACGAATATCTTAGACGCAATATTGCAATAATAATAATAATAATAATAATAATAAATAAATAAAAAAAAAATAAAAAAAAAATTCAAAAAAAAAATTAAAATACAAAAGAAAATTGAAGTAAAGTAAAGAAAAACAATGAAGATAAAAAAAAATAAAAAAAAACTAAAAAAGAGATTTGAAAAAATAACTCAATCACGTACTGAAAATGTTAGTCCGATTTAAGTGATATTATATTGTTGTCCAAATAAGTTGACACAAATCGTTCAACCGACCTCATTTATGTTACATCTACTATTTCCCTAACATACAAACGTTTAACTGTGGTGTTATTATTATTGAAATATTCAAATACACTCATGATATCACGCATTATGCATTTGCTTTCATTAGCTTCATCCCAATAATAACGAAGCAAAAAACACTTTTTTTACTTTTACTTTGTATTTTTAACATAAAATATCATAGTAAAAAGACAGTTTTTTTTCTTTTTTTAATAAAGTTTTTTCAACGGCATGTTTCCCTTTTTTAAATTAAAAATACACTAAATTTTACTTGTCAATCTTGAGGGATAACTTGCTCCCTCCCTGAATCTGAAAAGAAAGAAGCACACTTTCGTCGAAGCCTACAACAGAGGAAAGAATCGCGAGGTCAATATCTGTCTCTATTGAACAGCACACGTTAGTGGCGATCGGTCGTACTATCCGAGTCGCGCGATTTCGCTAGTCGCATGGCATTAGCCACGAGTCAACAAACGATCACTGTCGCACAGTGTTGTCGAAAGTCTTGCGCCGTAATTATTAATGGACGCCTGGTTACGTCTTCCAATTGTGCGGATGGGCGCGGGGCGGAGCTTGATTGCCTTGGCCCTGCGACGCTTGCGACGGTATCATGTCCAGGAGATACTGACGCTGGAGATCCGCCGCCTGCCGCTGAAGCTCCGCCAGGCCCTTACCCCCAGCCGCTTGCGCCATCGCCAGCTGATACGGATAGAGAAGCGGACTGAAGGGTGGCATCATGTGCGCTGGAAGAGGCTGATGAGGCGAGAGACCCGGCACCGGATTCTTGGCCAATTCTGTAATTTATCAACAGATCCTTTTAAGCTGCCGCTCAATCCACTATATTTTTTGCAACGACATTTATCGCTCGCCCACGCTATTTTTAACGTAACGATTTTACATGTGTTAGTAATATGCACAAGTCGCGGTTCATTAGCGTATGACCGTAATGTAGTAAGCGTTCGTTAATAATATAATAATCAATAGCAATGTAATGGCATGTCTGTTTGCCGCGTAACATACGGGGCTTTCATGAAATTATATAAGAATTATAGTTAAACGCCAGGCCAATAAACTATCTTCATCTAACAAAATGTTTAGACGTCGTTCATTTATTGAATATAGCCAAACGTAGCTAGCTTGCTTCATAATACGTTAAATAAAAAATATATAGAATTTTCTCCGCTCCGCTCAATGCGAAAAACTCCCAGCGAGAAAATTACCCTTTATCCCGTACTTTCATCGAATCCAACAATTTTTAAACATAAAATCTCGCGACTGTTTGACACATAATCGATGGCATATTCGCGCATCCTAAGATAAAACGATTTTAACGTCGAAAAAGGAGGAACGTCGCTCTTTAAAAGTAACTTTGCATACGTTTTGGGTGGGATGGAGATGGGGGAGAGAATAACGAGTGTCGATTGTTCGTGCCTCGCACAGAACAAGGAGATAAGAACGGCAAAGTAAGCCACAAGGAACGACGACTTTTGCATTCGGCACATTCGACGTGAGTTTTAAAAATAATATTCGACCTCGAAGTAATTGTTGCTGTAGAGCAGCGGCCGCTGCTGCGGGATGTGGAAACTTGCCGCTCTCGGCCAGCTTGACCAGAGGATGCTCCTGAAGCTTCGGAGCCGGTGGCGTCGGCGCCGGCGGTGGTACTTGTACTTGCGGCGGCGGCGCGGGAGGCGTCGCTACTCTTCTCGTCGGGGTAGGCGCCTTGGGAACTGGCTTTGGTGCGGGTGGATCTGGACTCGGGCAGGCCGCTTGCGCTAGTCTCTCATCTATTTCCTTCTCTTGTTTCAAAGCCTTAACGAAGGCAGTCTTCAACCTAGACATTATAATAATACATTGGATTTAATCGAATTATTTGCCATACAGTTTTAATATATGCGATAATTATTGTAGGTACAAGCAAGAAATAGCATAGAAATGTAATGTCACGTTGCTTTGTCACGTTGGGCCCAGAAATGCCCTCCGCGTGCTTATTAAATAATAATTCTACCGATTATTCCTATTCAATTGCTTCGGTTTTTCTGTAATAGTCTAGTCTAATAATCTAATACTCATCCTACTCGCTCTTCGTCTATTATCGAGCATTATGACATTAAAACGACAGGTCTCGATGCGCAATAGCAGCTGAAAACGTTAGCTGTAGAAAAATTAGGCAATTAGCTGGACTTGATTGATAATTAATGAATAGTCGCCAATCGTCAATGATAATCGTGACCACTACTACTACACTACCGACACGTGGATCGAATTACTCTCTACCGATTCTTACCGGTTCGTGTGCTCAGCCTTAAGTGCCTTCTTCACATTGGTTGTCACGCAGTGCTCGCAAATAACTCTAGGATCTCGACCAGCTGCTGGTCGTTGGAAGGTCGCATGCTGACCTTGTGGGCCATCCTTTTTATTACTATTGGCAGGCTTCTCCCACTTCCAAACTGGCGTAAAGTCAGTCTTGCATTGGGTACATTCGAACGGCTCTGGCGGAGGTGGAATAGCCGGCTCCTTAGTTATAAAGTCAACAACGTGCTCTAAGCCGACCAAATAAATAAATTCCGGATTCGAAGGACTTGGTACGAAGTGCATCTCCGGGGGTGGAGGTTTCGGCGGCGGTATCTGTAGGAGCGTCTTCTCCAATTGTTTCCTTAGAGCCTGTTTAGCAGCAGCTTGACGTTGCGCTGGAGTTTGATTGTCTTCCCGGTTTCTTTCCTGCAATAATCCAAGGCCCGACGATTAATGAAACGAGAACGGCTTGATACGACAAAATAAACAATTGAGCCAACTGCTAAATGTTTCTCAATGGTTTTTTTTTCTTTTCTTTTTTTTCAATATTCTAACTAGAGCTGAACAGAAATAAGAAAACAAATGGGATTAAACGTTACAATAGACTTTTGGACATACAAAAGCAGCTTTCATTGAAAATCTTTGGCATGAAAAAATTTGCACTACGTGGATGAGGGATTAACAAAATGAAATGTAAATAAAGCTTTTGGTAAGCTAAGCATGAAACGAGTCTAATCGAGAGTACCTGCTCAGGGATCACAGGTGTGTTTAGAGGCGCGGCAGGCTTATTGTCTTGGGGCCCAACAAGCTGTTTTTCATGAACACATAATTCACAATCGGTTAATCCATAAAGTTTGTACTTTCGACTATTATTATAAAAAATTTACAAAAAATTCTTACAGGCATTCAAATTAATCTAATGAGATATCGTATTGCCGAGACAGCAAGGATACAATGTTGTAATGTTGTATTGGCAAAACGCTATCACACGTATTTGTCAAGTGAATTAATTAAAGATATTAATAAGTATACCAATCGGGACATTTACTTTTGCTTGCAATTGATGTACCGGGCTTGGTGTGGGATCTTTTGTGGACCTCTCTGTTCGATCAGCTGGGGGATGATAACTAGAAACACTTGGCGTACTGCTTGTAGATCTCACTCGTGGATGAGGTGGCTGTGGTATCACCATATTAGGTGGCATACCGGTGGTTGAGATAGTATTTCTCCCAGCTGTAGGTGGTAATAACATACCGGGTGGTGGTGCATGAAGACTACTACTTCTACTCGGAGCAGGCTGTCCTCTTAACAAGGGCGGAGGCGCTTTCCCAGTTCTATGACTGCACAAATAAAATGATTAATCGCAATCGGTCGGCTGTGTTGTTTTGTTATATTGAGAGCACGAATGGTGTCCAAGGCTTCTGACATGGCAAGCGTACCTGTGAGTCATTACTGGTTGACAAGTGACTGGCGGTGGCAGTTTACTGGGAACTTTTGGCACGGCTGCTATATTTTCTTTCAACTGTTGGGATTGTCTTAATTTTTTCAAAAGCACCAATTTCATTTCTTCAGATCTTAATTCTTCCCTAAGTTTCCTTAAAGATCTTTCGCGTTCTGCCAATTCATCGGAAGACAATTCTTTAATTGGTAACAGAGGTGGCATCTCGGCTGTTAGAAGGGAGAGATAAGATCATCTTGATAAGATTTGATAAACATTAGGCTATCTTAAAATAAAAGCCAATCTGTGTTCTTTATGATATTGTCAGTACCTTCGTCGCTATCCGATGCATTTCCATTTAAATAGCCATTCATTCTTGGCTCGTCAGGGCTTTCTGCATAGCTTCTTTCCGTTCGAGGCCTCAAGTTCCGTCGGGGCCTACGATCATCTCCGGATTTTGGTGCTAAAATTCCTCTAGACGAATTTTGAATATTTCTAGGTTCAGGCATATTATTGTCTATACTTGGACTAGTTGTATAATTTACACCCAAATCTAGCGGAGGGCCTGCATTGTTTACTGAATTTGTGGGTGCAATTGGAGATTCTCTTCTATTGCTACTTCTAGAATACAAACAAGAATTTGTACGTTTAATACCAGCCAAGAAAGTACAGATTTAAATTTTCATGTTAGAGAACTTACCCGACACTTAAATCAACAACTGCATCTCCATCCAAATCCATGGCTTCCATACTTTTCTAGATCCTACGATAAGAAATTTTGTTTAGTTTTTATTGTTTTTTGCGATCGCATTCGTCTTGTTTTTATTATTACTATTATTATTATTATTATTATTATTATTATTATTATTATTATTATTAATAGTAGTAGTAGTGTAATAGTAGTAGCAGTAGTAGTAGTAGTAGTAGTAGTAGTAGTAGTAGTGGTAATAGTAGTAGTAGTAGTAGTAGTAATAGTAGTAGTCGTAGTAGTCATAGTAGTAATAAGTAATACCCAATAGTTGTACAGCAGTGAATCTCGAGATACTCGATTCTATTTTACTCGATTATTTTTCGGTCGACCGATTATTTTACCAATTCTAATGGATTCACTCACGGATCGTTATGGATAACCGATAACGGTAACGAGGCGCTCGATCGTCCATACTCTATGGCCATTATCGGCACTCAGTTATTCCTCCGTTAAGTACTTAAAGCGAGTATAGCCTCTGCTCAGTTCCGCAATACGTGTATTCAAGCACTTTGCACTATTTACGATTTGTGGCGCCAGGCACGATAAAAAAAGAGAGAGAGAGAGAGAGCAAATACTCGTGAAAAGGATGCAGGGACGCGAAAGGGGTCGACGAAGATCGCATGGACCGTGGAAAAAATGCTGCCGTAAGAGTCAAACGAAGCGACTTGCTAACCGAATAGTACGATAAACCTAACCTACCGAGAGGCTCCAGATGCGCTTTTGGCGCATGTGTGCGTGCGAATATGTGTCGTCGGCGCGACCTTGTTAGCGGTGGCACTTTTTCCGTATGACCGAACTCGAATACTCACGAGCAGAGCCAATTCCGACTAAGCATTTGGCGCGGTGGCGGCGACTTCCCGACTAGAATCGCCGTTGCCGTTACTCCCGTGTAGACCTCTCGTCCACCGATCTTACCGACTCTTGCGCTTATCGAGGCTGGCCCGCGACGCCAACCTCCCTCGCACCTCCGCGTACATACGAAAATTCGGAATCGTCACATACGTACGTCCGCCAAGGGTCTACGCAAGTATGTGCTCCATATATCTCCCTCTCTCACGCTCGCCCCGCCGTCTCACTTGATCTAACCAAACGCATAGCGGTAGCGGCGGCGGTGGCGGCAGCGGCAGCAGCAGCAGCAGTGGCGGCGGCGGCGGCGGCAGTGGCGGTGGCGGTGTCGGTGGCGGTGGCGGTGGCGGTGGCGGTGGCGGTGGCGGTGACGGTGGCGGTGGCGGCAACGATACAAGTCAACGACTGTAAATGAGAGAGGACGGAGATATAAAGTGAGATAGAGAATGAGCGGAGCTGGCAGCTCTCCCGCCGCCCGCGAAGATTATGTGCGGAAAGCGGAACTGAGACACGCAGAAAGCGAGAAAGGGAGAGAGACAGGCAGGCGAGCAGCGAGGGCGGAAGGGGGAGAGGGGACACGGAGAAAGAGAAAGAGAGAGAGAGAGAGAGAGAGAGAGCGTGAGACGAAATAGGAGAAGGAAAGAGCGGATTGGGCAGCGGCCGGCAGTTAGATGCCGGGTCGGGGGGAGAGGGAGGTGGGAAGCAGGGAGAGAAAATAGTGGCTTTTCCAATTTTACGAGCAGGAAAAAGGAATGAGCTGGAGAGGGGGAGGGGCAATGTAGCGGCGGAGGACATCGACAACTACTATGTACTGACTGACCACTGCTGCTATACGTAGCTGTGAAAATCGGAATGCGGAAAGCGGAAGATGTTCGCGGCTCGGCTAATGTTCGCAAATTCATTTTTTTCCCTTTACTTCTCCTTATCACTCTATCTCTCTCTCTCTCTCTCTCTCTCTCTCTCTCATCATGTACGTGTCTATCTAACGCCATCATTCCGGTCTCGTGTCCCTTTAAACGCGATGAAAAACGGGTGCACGTATGCCGCTCTGACCCAGACCGGCCTGCCTAACGAAAAATTGGCCCTTGGAATTCTCCGACTCGCCGGGGACAGGAGGGTGAAGGGGGCTGCTGCTCGCGACCTGCTCCGTCTCTATGGGAAATCGATTTTTCTCCGTACGAACGACGTACGTGTACGCGAAACGTAGCGCACACACAGGCGTGAAGGACACGAATTCCATTTTCTCGCTGCCACGAAGGAGAGACGATGGCGAGGTGATACGAAAGCCACCGCAATAGAGCCACCGCAGCAACAACAACGACGACAATGACAAACGACGGCGACGACGACAACAACAACAATAACAACCACCAGCCCACGTCACATCGATTGCTCTTCAGAGGATTGTCCTTTTTTTTAATGGTCTTCGTAGGTGGCGGTCAAGCTTGATAAGCGATCATCTCCTGCCCCCGGTGAGATGAAGCGAACGTCAAGGATCATCAGACAGACCATATATTGGAAAAAGGTTTCGCGACTACGGCCAATAATGAATTACGAATGACGTGGGTGAATTTGTCGCGCAGGGGGACATATAATGAGAGCGAGCTCGGACTATGCTTTACAAGTTTTTGGTTATTATTGATTTTGGAACGCGGCTTCAAGAATTATTATTACGAATGTTATTTTAGCTGCTATGAGAGAATCGTTGTAATGAGTAAACCGTAAACCGTGGGTCGGAATCATTTCATCCGTTAAAACTCATCGATCCGCTGATTTAAATTAGACGAATTTGCGTAAGACGACGACGACGACGGTTCGACGAAGAAGCGGGGAATTTAAAAAAAAAAAAGAAAAGAACAGAATAAAAAAGAAGAAAATCTGGCCTGAAATTTTAAAGGTGCGACAGTGGTCGCAATTAAACTAAAGGTCGGTTAGATCCAAACATTTACCATGCGTATCACAATTAGCTATTGCGGGAATTCAAGGTAAAGAACAATTAGGTTATGGGTAATCAATCTAACGACTAGTTTCTGCATATTTGAAGGCACACGACGACTTTGTACACGATTTATCAAGACTTTACTTAAAAGCCAATTAAAATGTAATTAACCGCCCGAACATTATCGAGCTATTAGTTTACAGTACATATAGAAATATGTTGGTAAAAATGACCAAACGTCGGAAATAGTCGGTAGGTACATAAACAACAATAACAAGGATGGAACTCGGTAGTTCTCTGCACGTAATGTGCATGTACCATTATTACAACATGCTGTGAGAAAAAATGGAGGTGTATGTCAGGCTCTCGTAAGCATCGAAAATTATCGATAATTCAAACGTACTTCCGTAAGAGCCTAAATATATGAATGCATGCATACGTACCCGGGATTATCGGAGACGAGTCTCGTCGAGTAATTATAACCTCAAAAAGCGTCGTTAGTCGATCGGTCGGTCGGTCGGTCGGTCGGTCGTTGCGTGAAGCGACGCTCTCTCTCTCTCTCTCTCCCCCCCTCACCCTTCTATCTCTCTCCGTCGCTCCGTTTTCCTCTCACTCTCACTCGCTCGCTCGCTCACTCACTCACTCACTCACTCACTCTCTCTCTCTCTCTCTCTCTCTCTGACCCTCACTAACTCTTTCTATTTCTCTCCGAAATCCTCCAAGCCTTGGAGATGTCTCTTCAAGCAGCTGCAACGGTCCTGACTGCGTTCTTGCCGGACTTTGATCGAGTGTCCGTCATCGTCGTGGCCCCTGATCCGTCACGCCTCGGTAAGAGCTCCCATCCCCGGAGCGGCGTCAGCCCCTCGTCCCGGGCTCCACCGGTGCTTGTATCACGCGTCGCGTGCGGTCGCCGGCTTGACCCACCAACTCCGGATGCCGTGGCAATCCTCGTCCTCGTCGCTCTCCGCCCGCGAAACTGCGACCGCACGTTTGTCCACCACCAACCAAGCCACCACGACGGATTCACTTCAAAATGGCGGGCAAATCGCTCTCTCTCTCCTTCGCGGCTCCGCGGCCCTTTTTTTCGTCCACGTATCGCCGCGCGTGTGCGTACTTCGCGTGTGCATGCACCGCGCGCTCGGCTTTTCCCTTTTCCCTTTCCACTCTCGTCGGTAGGCCGCGCGCGACTCTGCCTCCCTCCACCCCTTCCACTCGTCGCTCTCACGCTGTCTGTCTGTCTCTCTCTCTCTCTCTCTCTCTCTCTCTCTCTCCCGCAGACACTTACTCGCACTCAATCGCTCATACCCACCGTCGTTTCCCCCCGGGATTACTCCGGCGACTCTTGCGTCCTTCCTTCCTCGTTGCGTGCGCGGTACTGAGAAACAAGTACACCGAGAGAGGACCGAGGAGCAGCGCCGACGAGCAAGTCGCTCGCTCGCTCGTATTCGCCGATGTTCGGCGCTCGGCCACTGGCTCTACAGCCACTATGCTAGACAACCCCCGTCCCGTCACCCACCCACCCATCCCACCCCACCCCCCAACCTTCGTACTCTCACCCCACTACACCCCCACCCTCTCGCACTCTCTATATGTCTCTCCCTCTGACCCTGCCACCCTGATTACTATCCCTATCCCCTGTTCCCTATCAACTGTCCTCTGTCCACTGTCCTCTGTCCTCTATCCTCTGTCCTCTATCCTCTATCTTCTGCCCCACTGTCCACTGTCATCTATCCTCTATCCTTTATCCTCCAGCCCCTGTCCTCTATCGTCTATCCTCTATCCTCTGTCTTCTGTCCACTGTCTTCTATACTCTGTCCCACTGTCCACTGTCATTTATCCTCTATCCTCTGTCCTCTGTCCTCTGTCCTCTGTCCACTATCATCGTTAACCAACCGCCATCTCCACGTATCAACCCCAATAATCCGCACACCAATCTACGCCGACCGGGTCAACAGCCACTCCCTCTTGTTCGACGAGGCGGCTCCGACGAGCTGCTGAAAGCCGTCTTGACCTGCCCTCTTCACCTAGACATGCTGAGACTATCGTCGCCGGTCAATTAAACTTAACTAACCTGTCATCCTCCTCCAGTCCCGGTGATCGGTACCCTCGTGGTGTTGTACAATTGAAAATCGAGCGCTCCACGCGACTTTGCTTTGACTCTGGTACAGCAGCCGGCCGAGAATGATGCCCAGTGAAATCTGGATTCGCAGACGCGCGATCAATGCCGATCATCACCCGCGGGACTCCGGCTTCTCGGCCTCGCAGCTACGACGTAATCACGCATCCGTACCTTTCGAAAATATCCGAAATACGACCGAATTGGTCCAATGCGTTATTGGGACACGCGCGTTTATCAGTCTCTCACGCAATTACAATGGACTCCCATCGCTTCGTTGTCGACGTTTCCGCTGCGACAAACTCCGTTGCATCGAATCTACAAATGACCGATATCCTTCACCTGCTGACTTTCCACACTTGTATTAATAAGAGCCCCGAGCGCCCTTTTATTTTCGCCAAATCGGCAATTATGTACGGCGCTTCAGCTTCTCACGTTCCGTTAAGCGGCTCAAACTTAAGTTTCAGTGCGCTAAAATGTTTCGCGCGTTAAACGCCCTTTAGGTATATACAATTTTGATTAACTGCATGCGCGTGCAGCAGTGTGAGAAATTCGCGCGTCCTCCTCGATTACAAAGACAATTAAGGAATACTATTGAATGCGTTGGAGAAAGAGAGAGAAAGAGAGAGAGAGAGAGAGAGAGAGCGAGTGAGTAAGTGAGTGAGAGGGTGGGAGGGAGAGAAATGTGGGACGAATCGGTAATGTTTCAGATAGGTATGCGAAATTGTTACTCGTACGATTACTTCGCAACTACGTGTCCCCGAGAACTCGCTTCAACAACATCATCTTTAATCTACTTCCACGTCATAAAGTCTGTGTGCGAATTAAATAAGATACTCGAGGAAAGAATGGAAGCAGGTAAAGTCTATGATACTTTTATGTAGTTTCAAAATATACTTTACGTTCTATGAAAGCAATTGATTTTGTTACTCAGAACAATACGGATGCATTCGTTTCACTTATTTCTCTCTTTTTTTGTTCGTTTTTTTTTTGTTTTGTTTTTGTTTTTTACCCTATATTGATATGTATCGACGTTAAGGCCGACAATAATATCGATACTCGCTGTTTCATATTCTTAACAAAATTCCTCTTTTCCGGGGCGTTCAGATGATAGGAGAATGAAGGTGATATGACGGAAGGCTAATTCTAAAAGTACAATTAGGAGTTTTAAATTAAAACGATAAGGTATTCACGTTCAATCCACCGTTGACTAACGATATTTTTTAACTAACAGTAACATAATTTGTTCTTTTATTCTGTAGCTGTAACACAACGTTACACGATTTTTTATTTTTTTTTTTTATTTCAAAATAAGATTTACGAAAGGTTTATTTACGAATGAAATGACCCGAAACAAACATAAATCGACATCCACGTTAACGTGCGAAATAAAAAACAATATATGTGTTTCTTCTATATGGTAATTTAGCAAGAATTTTAAAAAGAAAAAGTGTCAAAGCGCTACTTTTTAAATGTAGAACAATTTTAAAACGACAACGATAAACTTTGAAAGGATGCTATGTAAAATGTAATGTAAATTTTTTTTTTTTCGAGCAAAGATCGCTCTGTCATTCTGAATGTTTGACGAGAATAAACATTCCTGTCATGGATTTACAAGTAAACTTATCATTTCGTTTAATCGTTGCACTATTAAATCCAAAATTTGCTGACATCTTAAAGGCACTTAAAGCCAAAACAAAAAAAAAGGAAGCATTGTTATTTTTAATTACATTGTTATTATAAAAAATGGTAAAATAACCTATTAATTAGCAATTTTTACAAACATTTTTAATACAATGTATATTCGATTCGTTATAAACATTTTTACAAGATTTTGTTTGTCCTGAGAGCTAAAATTTTTTTTCACGGTACGAAGTTGCAAAAAAAAAGTTTGATTAATTTTCATTCCAAAAAATACCCTATTAATCATTATCAAATGCGACATAATTATTATTTCTAGTTTCCCAACAAAATTAAATTTTCTAAAATTCCATAAATTTGGAAAATAATTTATTTGCATATTTTATATCGCTCTCATGTACAAAAATATACTCTATCATATATACAAGACTTATTATTATTAGCAATTTTGTTGTGAAATTCAACTTTTTAAAATAAAATAAAAAAATTAGAACAACGTAAAAACACTTTTTTTTTAAACTATGTTAAAAACAAACTAAAGAAAACTATGTTTTTAAAAAATCATTATTACATCCACAACTTTAAAAATCATAGAAGGTTTCGGTCTTAAATATCTTATTATTCTATATTAACATTGCAATTATTTAAAGTATTCACTATTTTTTATACACTAAATTTTAAGTGTTTGTATTACGAAATTAAAAAAAATTATTCTTAGTGTTATAATGTGAAATAAATAAAAACATAAATATTATTAAATACATCAAATCATAAATTTTTTATATAAACGAAATGTGTGCTTATAAAATTCTTAATATAATTCACGGTCTTTGCTCGAAAACATATATGATATAAACGTGGAAAGTATTTCAAGTCGATTTTTCAAAAAAATTATCAATAAACTTCTTATGTTATTATGTTTTAGGCTAAACTTATTTCAATGCTAGGAAAGCACACACTTACGCATACCTTCGTAATAACAAATTCATAATCGACCAATTAATATAGATTCGGAAGATGCATCGAAATAATCTCACGTATATGTATCATAAAAATAAATTACAATATTAAAACGTTGATTATGTAATAACCGGTTAATTTTATTGCAAACATTTAAAGGAAGAATGTATTATATACTTTTTTTAGCAATATTTCTCAGTACTTCGATATTCGATACAGAGCAATTCAGTTATTAATAATTGTAAGAATGTGAGCTTTCTTTGACTATGAATACTATTTCTAATCATAATGTAGAAATATCATAGATTTAAAGCCAATAAATAAAGCCCACGTTAAACCCAATATTTATCATTCACCGATTGCGAAAGACATTGTACTTAACACAGTTAAAACTTCCCATTATGTATCACGCGATATTATTGCAACTATATATTACTGCAGTATAATTATACAGCATAACATAAATTTTTAATAATATTTCTATTATATTTCACTCTTATGATGAAAATAATGTTTAAAAGATCATATACTTAAATTACAATGTAATTTACAGCACAGATATCAACACAATGTTGCTGATGCATATCAGTATAAAAATAACTTGAATTATCGTGATATAGAAAAAAAAAGAAAAGGAAAAATATTATTACAGTGTCTTTATGATGTATTGTAAAAGTATAGATGCTATACTATAATATCATAGGCTTTGATAAAACTCAAATTATGTTTGTTCTAAATAATTAACTAATCTATTACTGTATTAGATAAGTTTCAAATGAACATTTGCTAAATGCAATTTCAAATGCATGCATTAATTTCAGGTTAAAATTGTTGTTTGTATATTATTATATTATTTACGTTAATATGGCAGAAGGTTTATAAGAATTAAGTGGTTAAAAAGTATAATTTAATGTTTAATATTAATAATTATTTATAAAAATAATATGATAAATATCTTAAATAAAGGCAAAGTTGATTATTGTCATTTTCAATTTTCTAATATTTTTTTTTATATATAAAATATGAAAATAAAATAATTGAAAATTACGGGCCAATAATGAAGCGAGAAAAATAAAGAAAGTCGAGACAATTTGTCCAATAGGCTTAATACATTTATTCAATGCTTCGATATTTTTCCAGAGGGGCCAAAATCTTTTCATTAAAAATGCACACGCATAATGTACACGATAAATTCAATAATTTTAAATAAATAACCTTTTTGAAACATCTACTCGTGCAAAAGAATCTTGAATATAAAGTCATATAAATATGCTCAACGTATCAATAAAATTATCACAAAAAATAAGCAATTTCATTTTTCAAATTATCTAAACTTCAAATATAGAACATATAAAATCCTAAATAACTATGTAGTTATACATTTGGAAATACACACACACACGCACACACACACACACACATATATATATATATATATATATATATATATATTATGTGTATTATGTGTATATATTATGTGTAATATGTATATATATATATATATATATATATATATA